CCCTTTATGGTAACTGCCATAGTTCCCTCTAGGCTGTGAGCTCCTTTGAGTCAGGAACCATCTGGAGCACCTACTCAGCACTAAACCCAGAGCAAAGCCCTAGCAACACAATGAACAAGACAGACCAGGCCTCAGCCTTTTTTTTTTTTTTAATATATTTTATTGATTTTTTACAGAGAGGAAGTGAGAGGGATAGAGAGTTAGAAACTTGAGAGAGAATCATCGATCAGCTGCCTCCTGCACACCCCCTACTGGGGATGTGCCTGCAACCAAGGTACATGCCCTTGACCAGAATCGAACCCGGGATTCTTCAGTCCCCAGGCCGACGCTCTACCCAGTGAGCCAAACCGGCTAGGACAAGGCCTCTGCCTTTTGTGTTGCTTAGAGCCTTGTGTTATGACTGTCCTACTGGCCAGGAGCTCCTTGAGAGCAGGGTCTGGAATGTTTCCTATTGTATCCTGCATACCAACCACAGATTTCTTAACTTAGTTGGTACCAATGAACATTTTCTGAATGAGCGAGTGCAGAAAAGATGACAATGAAGACTGAGGCATAACTGACTTCATGTTTACCCCCAGGCACATTCAGCCTCTTAGGGGAACATAACTGTTCCCTAAAGTCAGCTTTCTGGAAAATTTCTGAGGAAGCGAGGTATTGATCCACCCAAGCTCCCCAACCTGAGTGGTAGATGTCAGTATTTGTAGTGCTCACTGTTTGCTCAACCCCTAAGCATCTCACAGTTCCAACTCAGAAAGCTGTGTTCTCTCTGTCCTAAACCTCTGGAAACAGGCTCTTGTTAGTCTAGACCAGTGGTTGGCAAACCGCGGCTCACGAACCACATGCGGCTCTTTGGCCCCTTGAGTGTGGCTCTTCCACAAAATACCAACTTCTGCGCACGGGCCACGAAGTTTCAATCGCACTGTACGTGTGCGCCAGCCCGTGGTATTTTGTGGAAGAGCCACACTCAAGGGTCCAAAGAGCCGCATGTGGCTCGAAAGCTGCGGTTTTGCCGACCACTGGCTCTAGACTGAGGAGGAAGAAACAGGTTCACTAGCTTCCTCATCAGTCTGCAGCCAGGAGCCAGGGGGCATAAGGAGGCACACTGGGCAAAGATGGAAACTTGGGACTCAGGCAGAGTGGGTGGGAATCCAGGCCAGGCCCACCACTTACAGGACTTTGAGTAAGGCACTTCACCTCTAAATCCCTCGGTTCCCACATTTCCAAAATGGGGGTTATAGTGTATTATTCACAAGGGTGGGGGGTCTCGGGTAGTTTGAGGATTAAAAAAGAATCCTCTTAAATGGCCATCTGCTCCCTTCCTGACTTGAAGCTGAAGTGCCCCTCGTGGTTGATACACATCCTGCTCCTGCTACAGCGAGACTAATGCTACTACCAGACTGACTAGGTGATCAGTAAAACCAATATTCTAGGATTCCTACTGCAGTTTTTGGAAAACATCTCATCCACTGTCAGTCCTGGGGTGCAGCCCTCGTTCAGCCTTTTCCCGATAACTGTCCCTGCCTCCTCTCTGGTTTCCTGCGACAGGTCAACGGTTCTACTGTATTGAGCCCCAAGCACAGCTGACATTTTCCACCAGCCCAAACCCTTACCTGTTCCTTGGGGAGGTGCTGGGGTAACTGGGAGTGACAGCCCGCATAACTACCGGCATCCCTGATGCTGGTTAGAACGTGGAGTGTCCCTCATTCAGGTTTATACAACTGGAACAGAGCTGCAGCCCACTCAGCTCGGGCCCTGTGTTTTCAGTTGAGGAAATGGAGGCCCACAGAAGGAAACGTGACTCGGAAAGGTCACATCCAGCTAGTAGCCAGGCTGGGGCTCGAACAGGGCTTTGGATTCTGTTTGAAGTCTCCTTCACAACTCCACTCTTGCTTTCTCGGGGCTGGGGTGGGAAGGTGAACACACACACACACATACACACCAAGCCCCTCCTGGCCTGGGGCCAAGCCCCTTGATCAGAGTCACCCTTAGGGTCATTTTCTTTTCCCTGTGCCCTCCCCAGCACTGCGGGGACAAGTTATAAAGTACATGCTCAGAGATTACGAAGCTGACCTAATTGGCTCTGGGGAGAACTTCTACACTTGCTGTAATCTTGGTGGTTTTCCTACAGAGCAACTGTTTGGCTGGCCGGAGCCTTAGTAGGCTGGTAACTTGACTCCCTTTTCAAACTGTCAACACAGTGGTATCAACAGCCTTATTAAAATTGATGTCAGCACAACTTGACAGGGCTGGAGAAGAGGGAAGGTCATAGCCTAAGGGTAGAACCTCTGTGGTTCTGCCTCGCCTTTCTCTGGTTGTAGGGTAGTGTACCCCAAATAGAAATGCCAGAAATAACAAAGGAGTGACTCTGCTGTACTATGCCCACATGTAAGGTAGGAATCCTGGTGATGGGGGTGGGGGACTAGCCTCTTACACAAGATGTCTGCATTTCCATGAGAAATGCCAGTCACTCTTCGGGTCCTGGATTCCTGTAGGAGTGAATTCAAGGTAAGAGCACAAAGTTGAAAACAGGGCCACATCGTTTCCCACCTAGGTCCTTTCACTACTTCACCAGGTGAGCCAGCTGTTGTCCCTCTCCAGTGCCTCAGCTTCTCCATCCCTACCATGAGCCATGGTTCCAAGGCTTTTATTATTACGGAACAGGTAAGGGCTGGTGGAAAATGTCACAGGGACAGAGCAGTTGCTCTAGCTGGGGGCAGGGTTATGTGCGAAAGAGATGCCTCTACTGACCACAAAGGACCAAGTCAGGACTAGCCCATCACAGCTCCCAACCTGCTCAGATATTTGATGGCTCAAATATTTGCTGCAAAAGCTGGAGGCCAACCCGCTCAATGAAGGTCTCCTTCAGATGGGAGAGAACTCCAGAAATACGGTCTGTTCTGTGAACTCATTACCAAAAAGCTTGCTGCTGCTTAAGAATTTAAAATTTGTCTTTCGTCAAGAATAGCTGAGCCTCAAGGACCTCCCAGAGGTCAGAATGCCACAGGCTTCTGGGAAACCTAAATTTAAAAGAAAAACATGGTAGAAATGAAAATGTGGCTTGATAATTCCCTAGACACACTTACTGGCCATATGTAGTAGGCCAAGTTGACGTTTTACAAAGTGAATACGTAAGAGTCCAGCTGGTGTGGCTCAGTGGTTGAAACATGACCTCTGAATCAGGAAGTCACAGTTCAATTCCTCATTGGGGCACATGCCCTGCTTGTGGGCTCTATTCCCAGTAGGGAGCAAGCAGGAGGCAGCAAATTGATTCTCTCTCATCATTGATGTTTCTCTCTCTCTCTGAAATAAAATCATTTAAGAGAAAACAAAGTGAATGCATAAAGGTTTGGCCTTCTCTAGGATAAGGTCCCAAATTACTACTCCAGCCTCACCTGCCATTCCTCTTTTCATGCTCATTCTCCAGTCAAATTTTCATGTACTCAGTAATCCCTACTTCTGCTCATCATGCTCCTCTTTCCTCCATTCCACACATATTTGCATGTACAGCTCAAGCAGTTTCCTTCCTAGGAAACTTCTGCAATCCTACTTGGAAGCCATCTTTCCAGCCTGAGCTGACACTTACTGGACTCTTGTTCTGTGTTAGTAAATATCATCCTCATGTTTCCTCTTCTCTGCTCTGAGCACCTAAGGGCTGGCTTGTCTCTAACCCAACACCCCTCCTTCTTGCCCAACCCTGGCATATCCTTGGTTCTTGGTAGATACTGGAAAGTTTTGTAAACTTGAAAAAGCAAGGAAAATAACCATCCAAAGTTACATTTTCTATGTGACATCATCTGCAAAACCTAAGGACACTTAGGTTACAGAAGAAAATGCTTTATAATGAATTGAAGGTTTGCCAAATAGTAGATAAGGCCTGTGGTTGAGTAAAATAAAGTAGTATCTGCTAAACCAGAAATCAACCCAATTTTCTTGAATTTCCTTTGCAAAATGCAAACTCTAAAAACTAGTGACTTCAATTTTAAAATAGGTATTTTGGGGGTTCCAATGATACTATGTAACTTTTTCTAGATATAAATTCCAATCTTTAACACTACTTTTACACATATAAAATCCCCACTTATTCTAGTAGCTTATAGCTAAAACAATCCTCAAATATTCCACTTAAAAAATATTGGCAGTGCAGTCACACATGAAATGGTTGAGCCACTGAATAGACTGCAGAATATCTTACCTCTCCCCCCAAATCCCTATAAGATCTGTAAGAACAGAGAACATTTCCATCTTCTGGAAAAGCTGAACTGACCTCAGGCAGTGCCTACCCTCCAGCCCTTCCACAAGGCTTTTCACGTCATTCCTCCTTAGCACGCCTGTCGTGGTAACACACCCTCTGTTCACCTGTCAGTCAAGCCTTGGTGTAAAGCCCATTGTTTTCTTCAGACCTTCCTGTCAGTGAGGGCCACAGACCATCAGTGCGGCAGGACTTCAGAAGCCACTAGGTCACACCCCTCCGATTTATAGACTGGGAGGTGATCCAGGGATCAACACGGGTCGCCCAGGAAATCAGTAGCAGCGTCAGAACTAGAATTCAGATCTCCCGGGACTCAGAGCAAGGTCTTCTCCTTTATACTATCCTCTCTTCCTTAATTCAACTATTATGTGCACCTAACATTATTTTGACTTGCTTTCAGGGCCTCCAGAGCCCTGAAATGCATTTCAAACATTATTTTTGAAGTCCCCTTCATTTACTCCCAGTCAGCAAAAATGAGTATTAGACTTAAATGCAAAAAGATCCTACACACTTGTACATTTCCCTTCAATAAACACGAATATAAAAATGCCAAAGAAACCAGTTCTTTAGTGTGTTTTAAACATGAACTTACAGTTAAAGTCTAATTTAAAAATGTAAGCATACAACTAGGCTTTACCAAAGAGGAACGTGTTTATTTCACTGAAATTCTTAAAAATATTTTTTGGCAGTTGTCACATAAAATGTCCTAATGTAAAAAAAATGTCATTAAAAAGAACAGAAAGGCATGAAAAAACAGACCCAAAATGTTAAGATTTTATTTACAAAGCTTCTTTGTTGTACAGAAAGTAAAAATGCTGTTACAGTCTTGGTGTAACTGGTAGCCACAGCTGGTTGCCTCACCAATCACAGCTATCCACGCTACAGCAAGAGTCTTACATGAAAACCTAACAACGCTTACAATTCTGTTGGGGTGCAGTCCCCAAGCTTGGTGGTGAATTTTCAAAAGGGACTAAATGGAGGAAGGCGGAATGTAACAGGAACTATTCTTTGGCTCTTTGGGTGGGTGGGTGTCCTGGGGTTTGTATCACAGCTACCTTTTTTTTTTTTTTTAAACAGCTACCAAATCCATATGATGAGCAGTCCAACCAATACTGAACAGTTCTTTTTTTTGCAGATTATTTGGGTTCTTAATCATCTTCTCCTTCATCATCTGTTTCTCTCTTCCTCTTTTCACCTTTCCCGCTTTCTTCCTCCTCTGTACAATGACAAAAATTCACTTTGAGACAATTGGAAAGGCATTTTGCCTAAGTTATTGCTAACGAAGGTAAAAACAATGAATTTTTTGATGGTTGAGATGATAAAAAAAAAGATGCCAGCTTAATCTGATAGGCAGGTTGTTAATTAAGAGCTATTAATTTTAAAAAGCATAGTGACCACAGAACCAAGAAGGCAAAATGCACAGCAGCATCTCAAATCACAACAAAGTTAAACCAGTTTTCTCAATTTTAAGTTGCAGTCTCCCAAATGTTTCTTACACTTGTTGGTCCAATGAGAGATTTGCTTATCAGGGACTTTGGAGTTAGTTAGCCTGTTTCCTTGTTTATAAAATGGGGACAATGGTACTAACTTGGAGGGTTACTCTGGAGATTAACGGAGATAACAGAGTATTTAGCCTTGAACATAGCAAGATTCAAATTGTAGCGAGTTGATATTAACTAAAAAGAGATTTCTAGATGCCTCAGGTTTTTGAGACAGAGACCTATATATCATTGTTTTTTCAACTAGTAAAAATTTATGGCTATTAAATGAAATTAACTAAATCTGTGTCAAACTATGTTCCATAAAGCTCCTGGAAGGCAGAAACCAGGTCCTAAGGACTGCTCTTCTATCACTGTAAATTTAGTCCAGTGCGTCGCACAGAGAACAGATGCTGAAAAAAAAAATTGAACCAATGGAAAGCACAGCAAACCACCTGGTATTCTGAAACCTATATATGCATGAGAATCTGTGCTTTCAATGAGTAATTAACAAATGGATATTTCATTGGTTTGGGTTAAGGTGGAGAGGAATAACACTAATAAAATTGGAATGGTGATATGTATACATTCTGCAAAAATTATGACACAATTACTAAGACTTTTTTAAATGAAATAATTCAAAACACAGAAATCTTATGCCTGGCAATAATCTGAATGATGGGTTCTAAAAACATAGTTCAAGTGTGGGGACTGAAAACTGGGCCTCCTTCCCTCAGAGAGACAGTCTTAATTGCTTGCTACATAGAGCAGGTGAACTATACCAGTGTACACACGCTGACAGGGCTACACAAGGGCCTGTGAAGACCACCAGGGCAAAGGGCATTTTTTTTCTTCTCAGTGGTTGTGACAAATTCTAAGTTAATGGGACAGCTGCCCCATACCCCGATTTTTAGCTGAGGAGGACCAAAATGCATGCTTCACACCCACCTTCATCCTCATCCTCATCCTCATCGTCTTCATCTTCATCAACTTCTCCATCATGTCCAAATTCTTCTTCCTAAAGAACAGTATGGCAATTATCATTATTAGATTAATTCTGCCAAGTTGAGAAGTACAAAAAGTATAAATTTCCCAATAAATGTAACAATCCATCAAGGAGAAAACTTTTGCGTTTTTATCTACTTTGATGTACTGAGATATGTGGGTTTCTCTTAATAAGCTTAATTTAAATTTTTCTTTAAAAATTGCCCAGCTGATGTGGCTCAGTGGTTGAGCATCGACCCATGTACCAAGAGGTCACTGGTTCAATTTCTGGTCAGGGCATATGCCCAGGTTGCAGGATCGAACCCCAGTAGGCAGAAGACAGCTGATGGGTGATGTTTCTTATCTCTCTATCCCTCTCCCTTCCCCTCTCTCTAAAAATCAAAACATACTTTAAAAAAAGTTGCTTTTCAGAAGTAAGCATTTCATTTACCAGACATGCTTAATTAGTATACAAGTTTAAATGAATAATTCAAGAAATTATTTTAAAATCTTGAATTTCAAAGCAGGTTTGGACAAAGATTTCTACATTACCATTGTTATAAAATGTTTCCTTCAGGAACTTAATTTCATTAAATACCTTATGAGATTATACAAATGCCTTACTTCTGTACAAAAAAAGAACATGTTTTTGGTGACGTCTAACTTTCCTGGCCTGTGGTTTTCACAAACCTTGAGGGTCAAAGTTAAGTCACTCCTTTCTCCTGTCCTATGGCATTCAACTCCTTACTGACATTGTGTTACTTAGGTGTTCCATTAAACTAGACTACCTGCTCTTGCAGGGTAGGACCACGTTTTAAAAAAATGTTATTACTTTGGAGAGAGAGAAATATTGATGTGGGAGAGAAACATCAATCAGCTGCCTCCTTCACACCCCCTCTACTGGAGATTGAATCCGCAACCCAGACATGTGCTCTGACCAGGAATCGAACTGGTGTCTTTTTGGTACATGAGACGACGCTCAACCAAGTGAGCCACACATGCCAGGGCAGGACCACATCCCTATTTAACTTTGCATCCCTAGCTCTTTTAATACAGAAGGCGTATATTTGCTGAATTAGGCTGAATATACAAGAACAAGTCAAGACTTGGTAAACATACCCTTCCTTTCAATACAACAAAGGAACAGACATACCGTCAGTTCTCAATGTTTCCAGTTTTCTCATCCTACTGAATGAATACTCAACTCACTGCTTCCTCCCAAAGTTAAAGGGTTAAAACTTACCTTGCAGAGCCAAGAACTGTGTCCCGTAGCATTCAGTAAGCATTCCATTTAGTATTTATTAAGAGGGTGGGTTTATAAGAGCTAAAGTAATCAGACTGATATTAGTTTACTCAAACCTATATTATTTTCTTCAGAAGGCCTTTCTTTCTCTTCCTTTCCTTTCTTCTTAAAAAGGAATCTATACTTTTAATCATTTTAAATAGGAAGCAGGGAAGCAGAGTTGCACTGACCTCCCCACTGACTTCATCTTCATCCTCTTCTCCTTCTACATCTTCGTCTTCATCTTCATCCTCTTCATCATCAAATTCTTCTTCCTCACCATCCTCATCCTCCTCGTCCTCCTCATCTTCTCCTTCTGAAAACAGTCCAAAAGGAATTCATTAAATACCCTTGATGTCCCATGAGGGTACATCTGCTAGATGTTGAGAAATTATGGGTTGGTCCACAGGACAAATGCTGGACTACACCAACATCAGGGGAAACCGTGAACCACAGTTACCCTCTTGCTCCCAAGCTGCTGTAGCTCAGTCCTTTTGTCCTACAGAATCCCATAACATCTGGAGGCCAGGACTCCTGGGAAACTAGATGGACACTATAACACTTTATCCAGTGTCTGGCATTTGACTCCAAGTAAGGAAGGGGGAAGAGGGTAGGGATGTGTATGTATAAAACATGATCAGCTATGAACCAGAACTATTAAAGCTCAGTCATGGGAACATGAATGTTTTACTATTTTTTCTACCTTTGTCTATGTCTAAAATTTTCCACAGTAAAAAGTTACAAAAAATTGAAACAAAAATATTCTTCTGAGGTAAGGGTACCACCACAAAGCTGCCCAAATGGGGAGCTTGGAAGATGCCGACTAACAACCCTGTGACAAGCTGCAGAGGCAAGTTGCAAGGCATCTCCATACCGTGTCTCCATTTGGTGGAGGCTTCTAGCCAAGCAGTTACCTCTCTGGTCCTAGAGCTTGCTGTGCTCTATTCTGCCTCCTGGCCTCTCAACACTTCCCTCTTCTGTTTGGCTAACACGGATTCAACCTCTGAATCTCAACTAAAAATCACTTCCTTGGGCAGATAAGCCAGACCTCCGAATCCCAGCTCGCACTCTCACACAAGCACCTGGTTCTTCTCCATGACCACACACCTTGCTCACTTGTGATTATTTAACACTTTCTTCTTCGTAGTAAGCTCCAAGAGGACAGAAACCATGATGTGGTTCTCAGGAACCCCCACCCTCCAAAAGTTTTCTTTACAGGTTCTTTCACAGTTGGCCGTTCAGCCTGTTTAAAATGAACCTCAACAGACCACAGGAGGCACAAAGGGTTCTTGGGGATAACTGAAAACCTGTGGTGAGGGGAACAAGTGACAAATATTTGGAAAAAGGTGAGATGTCCTATCTTGTGACATCTTACAAACTTCGAGGCCATGAGTTTGACATGCTTGTCTTACATCCCATCCTCTCTCTTTTTGCCTTATCTCAAATCTCCTGCAAAATCAAACTGTAAAGATGCTTCCAGAGCACAGCACCAATAATGGCACCAAGTTGCCTGATGTTTTTTCCTCCTCTGCTTTTCTTAATCATTTCTGTCTTGTATATTTTTTATTTTAAAGAAAAGAAATATTTAAAAATAATGAGTCTAAAAGCTAACTAGATGTAAAAAACCTTGATCAGATGTCAATGATAAAAACTATCTTCTAAATCCATGTTATATCCAGAGATTATTTCCCTTATTAAGGAAAAATGGAACCTAACACATAGTACTTTGAAATCATCATCTTCTTAGACCCTAGTAATATATTAAAGGCAGGAAACCTATTTTATTTATATTTGGATATAACAAACATATCCAAGTACCTATGAAGTTTTAGGTCCTTTGAATAAAGAAAAAAGCCCCGACCCAAGAAAATAATCATAGCATAGTTGGAAGGGACAAGAATAGCAGAGACAGGTGCTACGAAAGAGGTAGCAAGGGGATGTTCTAGCATGTTCACGAATCTAATCTCTCGAGAGTATCAGGAGAGTCTTCCTGGAAGTGTTGACAAAGATGAGTTTTATAAGGATAAATAAGCAGTAACCAAGGCAGGGGAACAGCTAGGAGGAAGACAGAAATGATGGTCTCCTTAGAAAACTGTAAATCACAAGTACTTCAATGGGTGGAGCAGTCCATGATCTCTAGGCTCGAAATTCAAGACATTAGCTAACAAACCATTTTTATTTGGAATCATTTAAAGGCTTCAATGTCCCAAGCACTTATTAAAATTAAACAGAAGTTGTAACTCCAAATTAAATGGAATGCCTACATGTATGCATATAAATTCTTTTTCTCAACAGCAAGAACATTCAGCAGCTTTATCAGGACCCTTGAAGGCAGAAATTAGGTTGACGGAAATAATGTCCAATTACCTTCATCATCCTCTTCTTCATCCACACCGTCCACCTCAGCATCTGAGTCAGGAGCTTCTCGATCCTCTCGGTCATAGCCATCCAGGTAAGTCAGCTGGGGCAAGAGCTTGAAGACACTCTCTCGGTAGTCATTCAGGTTAGTAACCTCACAGTTAAACAGATCCAGGCTTTTCAGACATTCCAACTTTTTCTGAAGGATTAAAAAAACACACTTCCTAAACCAAAGGAACCTAAGCAACAAAACCCATCTCCTAAGAGGTAAAAGTCTAGGCTCGTATTTAATTAGGTACTACCCACTCAACCTTGTACATAGGAAAACATTTCAACTCCTTTGCAATCTTTATATTGGAGGCCACTAGAGATTTGTAACTAGTCCTTTCCTTCTACATCTACCCTTCTCAAAGAACTGTCATTTTTTTTGGCAGCATTAGTCTTAAGAAACATGAATTTGAAAAAGTTATTAAAACTGGATCTTCTTATAGTACAAGACAAATCAGAGAATTTGATAAATTTGGTTCAAAACTAAGTTCAAATATTTGAGTAATCAAAAGTCCACTAAGAACTTGCTGGGTATCAAGCAGTCTTCAAAGCTCTGGGGTAGTAGTATGGAAGAAAACTCATCCAACCATCAACTCAGTCTCAAGGTGCTTGACATTTCTACTTGGGAACACAGATGTGAAACACGAGAGAACAGAATATAATAAAGCACAAAGTTTAGTGATGCAGACATTTTCTGGAAAGACAGGAATCAATACAGGTTAGGGAAAAAGAGTTTAAACTTCAGAAATAAGAAACATTACACTCTTCTTCTTTTTGAATTTTTGGGGAAATGATTGACACTGTTACCAGACTTTTCCATGTAAAATTCTTTTGGTGTTATCATACCTTGAAACTTTGTTGAATAGGAAAATTTCCAGGTATTTTACTCAGATCTTCATCTGTTATGAAGTACAATGTACTGGTATTAGTACTTCAACCCCACATCTATTAAGTTTTGATTAAGGGTTAAGAGGTTGGGAGGACAGAGATATTATTACAGGCAAGTTAGGAGACAGCACCAGGACAGCAACCCTCTTAGGGAAAAGAAAGAGTGCAAGCTTATAACAAGCAAACACAAAACATGAAGCCTGGTGCCTTTTAGAATAGGGGCAATAAGCCCGGAGGGCATATGCTATATAGCTTCATAAATGTAACTTTTAATGGTTCTGAATCAAGAGAAAAGGCTTAACCATATATAATATATATTTGGTTAATCCTCACCTGAGGATATTTTCCCATTGATTTTTAAGAGTGGAAGGGAGGGTGAGAGTCAGAAGTGGCAAAAAATAAATGTTGGTGTTTAAAGTCTTTGATGCTTTATTTGGGAAAGCTATTTCAACATTCACAGGGACCTAGAAAGAAATGCAGATTAAACAAAACCTTGTCTCCAGGACTTGAGGTATCTGTGTAATTCTAGGGAGTTACAAAATGATTTGAAAAATCTTTGCTCTAAAGCAGGGCTTGGCAAAAGATTGTCTGCTGGCCCATTCCAAACCACGGCCTGTTTTTGTAAAACAAGTTTTATTCAAACAGAGCCACACTCACTTGTTTATACATTACGTATGGTTTCTTTTGTGCTGCAATGGGGAAGCTGAGTAATTGTGACAGAGACTGTATGGCTGACAAAGCCTAAATGATCTATTATTGGGCCCTTTAGCAAAAAGTGTTGCTGACCGCTGCCCTTACAGAATCTTCATCTTCCTGATCAAAGATGAGGTTCCCACACTTACTTTACTTTTACTGAGCAGCCCTTGGGAACATAGAGCCAGACAGGGAACACAGAGTAGGGTTACAGCAACAGGAAACTGTACTCCTCAAAACACCAATGTATGATGATCCAAGCAAGGGTTTGTGAATCAAATAATGTGCTTATGTAAGTCAGTCCCCTGAGGACTTAAGAAAACTGTCCCCAACCCTTCTTAGAGCTGCTTTTATGTCATGCAGCTTTCAGATTAGGTTCCCCACTGGGCAGGCCCTGACCTCCAGAAGCCCAGGTATGAATTCTTGCCAAGAAGAAAAAAAATGCTGAAATGCCACCCCAGACAACTAGATAGCATACTGGGAACTCTTTTCTCTTCACAAAACAGTTGACCCATACCAGCTAGGATACAACAAGTAAATTTAGGCAGCTTTCCCAAAGAGGCTCCGTCTAAAAATTCATCAAAGGAATGAGCCATGGACCCCTCAAACTTATTCCCTAGGAAAAGATGCACAAAAATGCATACAACCCGATATTTAATGCTCTACAGTGCCCAAGGCTTTTCTCTAGTTTTACCAACTATCCCGGGGCACAGGCCCTCCACAGCTCTGTTTCTGAAATTATGACTGTGATATTTTTGGCTACTTCTTGAGAAAGGACCCATTATAATCCGGACATGCCAAACAGTATGCTAGAAAACTAAGTTAAAGAAAATAAACAACAAAATCACAAATAACCATAGTATTCTAGAAACGTTTCAAGTAGTAAAATTACACTTTAAGATCCCAAATACACTACAGACAGATCGTTCAGGATCCCAATGTAATGTTTAAGTACTGCTAAAAAAAAAAAAAAAATCACAAATTTTTATCATATCATAAATTTGGCCTAAAACTAATAGGCTAGCCATAATAAACATTAAACATTTTATTAACAATAATTTTGCTTGCCTTCTTAGAATTTAGAAGGGCTTTTGGGGATGGTTTGGATGGCCCAGGTCTCTTAAAAAAGGTGTCCAAGGAAGTTTGAAATGATGCCTTCTTTGTCTCTCGATTAATGTCCCTGTAGCAAGCAGAGGCATTCACAATCATTGCATTGACTGTTAGAACTAGGCTCAATGTAGACGGTGTTCAAAATGTTATGTGGTTAATGAGGATGAGGATGGTGTTTTTCCCCACTGAAGAATACTATCAGAAGTAAAAATTGATGCAACATTTCCCCCTTTCACCTTCTGCTACAGTTATATTTTATTCTAAGTTCTAACTTCAGGAGACCCACCTAGCACCACTAGGAATCTGAGAAACAAGTTCAGAGAAGGGCAGGAGCCCAGGCTTTTCCAGAAAGTCCTGGGTGTGCAGCTCTGCAGCTCTCACTGGCCAGCCAAGTGTGTGACTCTGGACAAGGGATTCAGCCTCTCCCAAGCCTCAGCTTCCTCTTGTGTAAAATGAGGGCCATGCTATTTCTATCCACTTTGTAGAAATGTTCTTTTATGTCATGCAGCATCCACTATAGTGTATAGTACGTAGCAGATAACATACATTAAGCATCCACTATAGTGTATAGTACGTAGCAGATCCTCCCAGGGAACTGAGACTTTCAAAGTCATCAAAGGGCCCTCATACATCTCTGATCAGGTCAGGAACACCCAAGCAAACAGCTCCCACACACTGCTTCTGCTCTGCCTGTCGCTAGGGCACTGACAAAGGCTTCTGATGAAACATTTAAGGGGACCGAGGTTGTTATGAGAATCAGGCGACAGCCAATGATCTCGCAAGGAAAGGCACTACCTGGTGTTCTGTCCAGAAAAAAAGGGGTTCCTGTGCTCACAGTGACCCTGGATTGACAGGCCTGTCACTAACACAGACAAAGAAGATTAATTCAGGGGTCTGACTGGGAGACCATTAGCACTGAATTTCGTGCTCCTGTTAAATAGCTCAAGTCAATTTGGATATGAAACAAAATTGTAGGTAAAAAGAGAACAGTGCAAAGAACAGTGGATTTGGATTTGAATCCCTATTCTGCAAATTATCATGTGACTATTAATTAAGTTTTCTAAACTTGGTTTTCTTTACAGTCTTTCTCTTCTGTGGCTTACGAGGATACAGTGGGCAAAAGTTAATGTCCTTGAATTCAGCAAAACTCAATAAATGTTTGTTTAAACGTTGGAAATGTGGACTGGTTTTGAGAAAAAGAATAGAACCAGTAAAAATGAAGGAGCCTAAGTATCTGGGTGTACTTATCTACAGTAGAAAAGAGGGGCAAATATATGGCGTAAAGGTAGGAAATAGGCTCCCAACATTTATGAGAAATATGAACTGGACATAGTTCACTTAATGAAATGTACACATAAAGTGACTCAGTAAAAGATGCTTAATCTACATTGGCACAGCACCTCTATTAATTAGGAGGGAAAGACCCTAAAATTCTGACAGGAAACCCTCTTTATCAAAAGAAGTCATAATTTAACCTTATCTTCCCTTGAAATATTAATAGAACATCCTGTACAACTAATATGAAATCCAAACATTATAAATATACTGTGACATCAGAAAAGATGGATAGCAGAGGATGGCTTATCCTCTTGGGTTCTGTTCTTCTGCATCCTGAAAGACAACTCCTACCTACTGTGTAACCCTCTCCCAATTAATGTTTGGAAGTTAATGGAAACACTGACTTTATGTACACCAAGTTAGCATCGTTAAAATGGAATTCTCCCTGTATGCCAAATTTTTAGAATGCCACGTTTAGGTAAAATAGTCATTTATCAATCTTGAATTCATAGACATTTCCAGGTGCCAGCCAAAAGAGGAGCCTGTGGGGCTCCCCCACACCCTGCATTAAGCCCTGCCTCTAAAAGCTCTTTTATGGCCACCACAACTTCCACCTGGGCTGGACCCCATTAGCACAGCTTTCCAGCTAACAAAGCAAAGTAAGTGCATTGCCTTATTTTATTTCCAGAACTCCTAAGTGAGGAAACTGAGGCCCGGAGAAAAGAAGCAATTTGCCCAAGGTCACACAGCAAGTCTGTAACTCGTGACACTTAACTAATTTTCCATAGCTTATCCAAGTATGTAAGACTGAGGAGGATTTGGGGGTTCCCATGAAAAACTTTGGGCAACAGTGATCCAGCTAGCGCCCAAGATCAGGAATTAGGAGATTTAAAACTTATTGGAACTGTCCTTGGACTTCTGTTCCATCTGCAATTCAGATATGCCACCCAATATAAACAGCTTTTTCTAGAAAAGTATAGAATAGCCTAGCCAGTCTGGGGGGAAAAAAATAAATGTTTAATTTCATAAACACATGAAATTTTAAAAAGAAAACAAAAAAGAATCCCCCTTTGAAGAAAGCCACCACAGTATCAGGTAATCAATTATTTTCAATCAATTCCCTTACTATAAAGAAATATGAAAATGAAAATGACCAGTAAGTCTTGGTTTCCAAATTCTTAATTACTTACCAAAGGTTCCAAGGTACTGATATCTTTCAGTTTATTTCCACTTAAATTTAGATGTGTGAGATTTGGAAGTTTTTCTGCCAACATGTCCAGACATCCAGAGATTCTATTGTCACTGAGCTCAAGCTGTGAGAGAAAACGCACACAAGACACACACAAATATACAGAGAGACATATATCATTAAGGTGTTCTAAAGAGCAAATACAGTTTTTAAATACTTACCAAGACCAAACAATCTCTGTTTTTATCAGTGCATGTATGTTCATTTTGTTTGATTAAACCCAAATAAGTAGTTTATGGATCCCAGCAACATTTCCGGGGGAGGAGAGACAGAATAGGATGAGAAGTGTTGTGTTTTCTTAACCAGATGCTAATTATAACAGTTTGCTCAAGTGAATGTATTTTCTAACCTAAAAAGTGGGTCACAGCAAATTAGAATTCTTTAAGAAGTTGTAATATGCTATACTTGCCAGGAAGGGTAACTGGTCCATGCATTCTAAGCAGCTTATTTAAGTGTGTGCCAAGCAAAGCTTGCTGTGCCCACTTGGAACCTAATCTGGTCCTTACAGCGTTGACACATTGTGGAGTTCTACATCTGGAAGCCCCAGGGAATTTGCTCTGACGCTGTAGGAGGACAAGCCCCAAAACACACCCTTAAAGCAGCTCCATAACCTCAGGAAAGGGAGTGGGGCAACAGCTTCAGGGCTGATACAACCAACTCCCTGGAGGCCACTTCTTGCATAAACCTGGCCTTTACAAGAACCTACTCTAATTTCTTAGCTGCGGGTCAAGTAACACAGCAAGCGGTGTGCCAATAAAGGAAATGAGCCTTCAGCAAGAAATATTAGAGTGAAAGATATTGGAGCATGGAAAAATTAGATGGTCGAGAGCATCTAATTCAAATTCTTCATTTTGCAGATGAGAAAACTTAGACCATACAGCTGCTATCAATCCCCTTTTTAAATGCCAACAACAGTAATTATATCTAACCCTTACTTAGTACTTAAGTGCCAGGTACTATTGAAAGCCCTAGAAATACTACATGATCACTTAATCTCACAATAAACCGATGGGGTAGGTAGAATTATTACCCCCACTGACAGATGAAGAAAATGAACTACAAAGAGACAGTGAAATATGCCAAAGAGCTCACAGCTGTTACAGTGGTAAACCTATGATTTGAAGCTGGGCAGGCTAGTTTCAGAAGAATCCATGCCCTCTGCACTATGCTGCGTACCTTGAAGAGCATGAAAACATCATGTAATTTCATCTATAGCATGCAATGAAATAATAATGAGCAGAATAGAGGAACTCTTTAATTTAAATAGTTGTTGAAAGAATGAGTTTAAAAAACAATTCAAGCCCAACTGCTCAGTGGTTGAGCATCAACCTATGAACCAGGAAGTCACAGTTCAATTCCCGGTCAGGGCACATGCCCAGGTTGTGGGCTCAATCCCCAGTGAGGGGCATGCAGGAGGCAGCTAATCAATGATTCTCTCTCATCATGTTTCTATGTCTCTCTCCCTCTCCCTTCTTCTCCAAAATCAATGAAAGAATATATATATATATATATATATATATATATATATATATATAAATAAATGAAGTCTGGTGCTTGGGTGTTATTAAGTATTTCAGGAGAATGCAACATTTCCGAAAAAAATTTTCCTTCCAATGTGATATTCCAGACTAATATCTAATCATCTAGATTTAAAAATATAAGTCTATAATAATCAACAAAGCCCCAAGTGTTACCTTTATTGAGATATTAGTAAATCAAAATAAAAAGAGAACACTTATTTTTGTTGGTCAGAATATCAACACATATGTAATACATCCTTTCAACATGAGTATCTTAGGGAGCAGAAATAACAAGGCAATCCCGCCAGAGGACTTAATGGCACATTTATTTGAAATAAAAGCAATGTGTAAATTTAGGAAGCCTGTGACATTTATACACCAAATTTCTTTCAGATCCTGTTTTCTTGTTATAAAACAAGCCATTCTGGGGTAGGAAGAAAACAAAGTCCACATCAACTGTAAGAACATCTATCTGCCTTTCAAGTCTGATTTACAGATGTCTCCATTCCTCCCTCATTAATTCTATAAGTAACAAATTAAAATAAGACTTCAAAAGGATTTGATAAAGCCTATATACATACAGATGGTCACTGATACATTTACTTTCTAAGTCTGACAGTATACTGACCATAATAATTCAGGAAAATATATCAGGATGCTAGGAAAACAGAACACAAAACACATACTACTAGGATCTGCTAGCATAAAGTTTATGTAGATAGATAAAAAGCCACCAGTTGTTTACTGAACTAATTAGAGCTTCCAGTGTCACCAATAACCCATGCAAATAAAAAGGATGACTCTTGAATCTCTAAAGCACATACTTACCAGAGGAAAGGAAAAAATTTACCAATTTAAATATAACATGATTCTTTGATATAGGAAGCAGGGCACCCTGAAAACCATGAGGAGTACCTGAGCATTTATTACTTAAATAAAGCAAATAAACATTTCTTGTTTTAATTCATGTACATAAGCAAAAAAACAAGACTCAAAAGCAAACTACAGGAACGGCCTACCTGCCCCTTTGCTTAAATTTGATTATGAATTTCTTTCTGTGTGTATGTTTCAACATAAATTCCCTAATAAAGTGAATACCTAAACATAATCACATACCTTTCTGAATGTTATTAAAAAAAAAAAAAAAAAAGGTACTGGGTTAGGAAATAGGAAATATGGATTCTAGTTTTGGCTCTAGCCACCACTTTTGTGGGTGGCTTTAGGCAAATTACTATACCTTTCTAAATTTACTGATGTGTCTATAAAATAAGGGGCTAGGCTGGAAGATGAAGTTTCTTCCAGTTTTGACATTCTGGAGCTCTGTGACAGATAAATATGCAAGGACACAAGAAAACATGTCTCTTGTTTTTTTAAAGTAGGGGGTGGAGTTGAAGGGCAATAGTGATTGGTTTGCAATTAGACCAATGAAGAGCTAACAACAGACCATCAGCTAGGATACAGAAATACAAAAGCTTTGTTACAATGGATTCTTGCAGCAAGTCATAGCACATTTTAAACTTCTAGTCATTAAAATTATGTAATGGGTTTGAATTATCAAAGACTATAAATCTGAAAAGTCTTTACTACTCAAACTCATCCTTAATCAACAAAAATAAAACATGAGTGATAGGCACCTGTTTCCTAAACCAGAGCATACTAAGAACAAAATGTATCTAAGATTATAACACAAATTTATAACAACTAATAAATTATTCACAAAATAATTATTCTTCATAACTAATATTTATTTAGCATCCAACATGTATTATTTCCAAACATCACAACAATTCTGTAAGGTCAGGTGGTATCACCAGTTTACAGGTGAGGAAATTGAGCCTTACAAGGATTAAGTAACCTGCAGATCACCCATCAAGGAAATGATAGAACTGGAATTCAATCCCAGATATGCCCAGTTCCAAAGGCTATGTGCTTTCTGCTACATTAAATGCTTCCTTACAGGTAAAACCATGTATTTTTCCCTTCCCGGTATGGTTCCTTTTTACTGTTAAAGAAAAAGCACTCACCTTTTTCAATTTTGGTAGTTTGGGGAGATTTGAAACTGAAATCAAGCCTACATTTATTAAACTGAGGAACTCTAAGTTCACAAATTCATCTGTTAAGCCCTCAATTTTCCCATCATCTGATTTGCAATTGTCCAGGACAAGTTCTCGAACCTGTAGATGACAAAAGAAAAAAGGAAAAGACAAGCTTTCAGGAACATACAGAAAAAAGCAAAAACTTCTACCATAAATACCCAGCAAAAAACACCCACATATAGGGGCAGCCTTTAGATCACAGTTATAAATAAATGAAAAATGATTAAGCCTTTAGAAACAATATACTAATAGATACCAAGGGTGGAATGTTACACCACGAATAAAGATGTGAACTCTTTCTTTTCCAGAGACAGAAACTACAGTTCATAAGATAAAAGTGAAGAAACTGTATCTCCCCTATTTCTTTTCCCAAGTCTGTTCCCTTAGGGTTAGCTTTAACTATAAATGCAGAGTGAAGATACCCCTCACCCTCTTTTAGGCTGAGTCTATCTCAAGGCCCAAGAAACTGACACAAGGAAAATATAGAAGTTTTACTTTTCCCATCAAGATCACTAGGAGATGTCGGCAGCACTATACATTTCCACTTGTGGTATTATTAATCTTTACTAAGATTATCTTGACACTTGGAATGGGTTAAGTGAAGTGTCAAGGCCTTAATTCAAAACAAAGATCAATTTGGGTTATATGTGAGAATGACAGGCGAGAGACTGTTAGACATTAAATTAGGTTCCTTTTTCAGACATAACATCTCCTTCTTTGGAGATCCTGAAATTCAGAACTCAAATTCATCCAAGGGTATCACATCTGAAGATTTTGAATACTGATTTAATAACAGTCTACAGTGTGAATACTATAATAATCCTTATTGCCATTCTTGCTCTGTGGTTGACTCTGAAACTTGCAATTTTTAACACGTTCTGATCAATTTACAGTGATGCAAATTAGTTTTAACTGCCAAAGGCATTCTTGCAGTGAATGTACCAAGTTTAATAGCATTAATCAAGCATGTATACGGAAGGGAGATGCTGATAGCTCTAAAATGAGGATAGGAGCTAGTGACATCTTCATCCTCCCATACAGAATCTAAGGATCCTACTCTATTAATTGCTATCATTTATCGAGACCATACTTGTTATTCCTGGCACCACCACATCCTCCCCCCATTTACAGAGAAGGAAACAGATTTATAGAGTCTGTGATACCCACACCACCACAACTTCTCACTTGCTTCTTCATTATTTCTCACTGCCTTATTTCCTCCTCAGAAGCCCTGGTTTCAGTCAGGATGCATGCAGTCCTATTGTACCTTTTTCCTTCCTTCTACTTTTCTCTAGACATCTCTGCCATTCTTCCTTCTTCTGATGAAAATCAGCACATGTGAAAACCTAAGAAGTCACCTGAGGAGAGCTGGGCTATGGAGACAGATGCCTGGCTCTGCCACTTATAACCTGTGTGACCTTGGGCAAGTCACTTAACTTCTCTGTGCCTCGGTTTCCTCATCTATGAAGTGGAAAAAAATATTACCCACCTCATGGAGCTGTTGTAGAGCAGTGCTTGGGACATATTAAGTGCTGAGAAAGTAACCTCTCAGGAAAGCAACTAGGGGAATGCTGTCTACTTTATTCGTATCTATATGAAGTTTTCTTTTTTTTTTACTAGCAGTATTCCTTTTGTATTAAACACACACACACACACACACAGCTCCCTAGCCAGCTGCTCAGTGGTTAGAGCACTGGCATGCAGACCAAAGGGTCACGGGTTTGATTCCTGGTCAAGGGCACGTACCTGGTTGCAGGCTCAATCAGCCCTGATTGGGGCATGTGCAGGAGGCAACCTGTTGATGTTTCTCTCTCTGTTATTTCCATTTCCCTCCCCCTCCCATCCATTCTCACTAGAAAAAAAAAATCAATGGAAAAAATATTCTTGGGTGAGGATTAACAAAAAACAACAAAAAAAGAAAACCCCCAAATATAAAAAAAGGTCAACTGTTATTGCCACCCACCTAAGTAGTATACTACAACGCCACTAAAATGGACCCATTTGGTTTAGGGCAGTGGTTCTCAACCTTCTGGCCCTATAAATACAGTTCCTCATGTTGTGACCCAACCATAAAATTATTTTCGTTGCTACTTCATAACTGTAATGTTGCAACTGTTATGAATCGTAATGTAAATTTCTGATATGCAGGATGGTCTTAGGCGACCCCTGTGAAAGGGTCGTTCGACCACCAAAGGCGTCACGACCCACAGGTTGAGAACCGCTGGTTTAGGGGATTTTTCTATGATTGTATCTGACAGAGAATCCAAAATTATTATACAGAATGAAATGACCCCAATATGCCAAAAGCCAAATGAGGAGGAATTAGCCATATTGCATCTTAAGCCATTTTGCCTCCCAGCTTACTGGGTGAAATCACCTTTTAAACAATTTTTCTCAACCAGTGAAATTCCACTCTAACTAGAATTATAAAAAAACTACCATAAAGCGCCCTAGCCGCTTTGGCTCAGTGGATAGGGCATCGGCCTGCGGACTGAAGGAGCCCAGGTTCAATTCTGGTCAAGGGCACATGCCCGGGATGCGGGCTCGACCCCCAGTGGGTGGTGTGCAGAAAGCAGCCAATCAATGATTCTCTCTCATCATTGATGTTTCTAACTCTCCCTCTCCCTTCCTCTCTGAAATCAATAAAAATATATATTTTTTAAAAAACTACCATAAAGCATTTAAATGTGATGTACATGTTTGCTGAACCAAATTGCAGAATAGAAATCAAAGAGGAACCTGGGAGGGAAAAAATGTTAAAGTGGTTCTTTTTATTAAAAAATGTTTTTTTCTTGATTTTTTAGAGAGGAAGGGGGAGAGAGAAACAGATTTGTTGATCACTTATTTATGCATTCATTGGTTGATTGTTGTTATGTGCCCTGATGGGGATCAAACCCACAACTTTGGTGGGTCTGGATGATGTTCTATCCAACCAAAGCTACCCATCCCGGTCTGTTAAAGTGGTTCTAATTTGCAGGCTTAGCTATTGAGTATAGAAGATGATGGAGTGGAACTGAGGTTCTGGTTTAGAGAAATGGGAACCATGTAGCTTGAGGGAATAAGAAAGGAACAGCTTGTGGAAGGAAGTGTGGAAGGAATAACAAAAGGGATACCAAGTTTAAGTTTCCTATGGGATGTCCAGATGAAAGGATCCCTAGGGAACTGGACACGTGGGTATGGAGTTCAGGGGAAGTCTGGGTTGTGAATTCCGTATTTGTGAGTCACCAGGACAGACAGTAGTGGGAGGCTGGAACTCCTAGGAAGAGGACCGAGGATGGAACCCTGAGGAGACGGAATCCTGCAAGGGAGACTTGAGAAGAATCAGGAAATACCCAAAAATGAAACATGAGCTTAAAACATCCAGAAAGGCTTATGAAAGAAGGCACAAGAAGTGATTGAAAAAATTAGAAAACTTAAATGCCCTTAACAAGAAAATAATTTCCTGGATACACTGTGGAATGTAAAATGTACAGAAAGTGTTATTTATGTAATACATCACACATTCACTTTCTTATCTATATCTATAAAAGCTCAGTGACTGAATGGTGGAACGACCAGAACAACTGGTCGACCAGTAGCTATGATGTGCACTGACCACCAGGGGGCAGATGCTCAATGCAGGAGCTGCCCCCTGATGGTCAGTGTGCTCCCACAGTGGGAGAGCCACTCAGCTGACCGGGATGAGTGGCGCTCCCACAGCGGGCTGATCCCGCAGGCCACGCCCCCACCAGTGCACAAATCCATGCACCAGGCCTCTAGTCCTATATAATAAAAGCGTAATATACAAATTGACTAAACAGTAGAACAACCAGTTGGTGGACAGGCAGTGCCAGGCCAGCCAAGGCAAGTGCCAGGGGGCAGAGGGAGGGGATGGCGATGGGGGAGGCAGCAGAGGGAGGCGGGCAGCAGTGGCAGCATGATGGGGGCAGCAGAGGGAGGCCAGATTGCGGCTTAGGCCCGCTCCCCAGGCGGAGCAGGCCTAAGCCGTCAGTAGGACATCCCCCGAGGGCTCTCTCCCTCCCCCAAGTGCACAAATTTTCGTGCACCAGGCCTCTAGTATGTACATAAAACCTCACAGAAATAATCTCTCACAGAAAGTAAGTGGCTGGGAGACTTTTCTCTAAAACCTTATTTTGTACTTATTGATGACAATGTTAATCTATTTTTAAAAAATAAAGATAAAAACAGTCACTGCTACTCTTTTAAAGTACTGCATAGGGCAGTGATGGCGAACCTTTTGACCTCGGCGTGTCAGCATTTTGAAAAACCCTAACTTAACTCTGGTGCCATGTCACATATAGAAATTTTTTGGTATTTGCAACCATAGTAAAACAAAGACTTATATTTTTGATATTTATTTTACATATTTAAATGCCATTTAACAAAGGAAAATCAACCAAAAAAAATGAGTTCGTGTGTCACCTCTGACATGCGTGTCATAGGTTTGCCATCACTGGCATAGGGGTTTGTATAAAGATTGTAGGGGATTGAGCAGATGATGAAATGAGAGAAAACTTGGATCTAAACAAAATCAACTTTCTGATCATAAACATACATTAAATGGAAAGCATATTAATGTTCATTACTATTGATATTTTGGTATATTTTTTGTCTTTCTTTGTGTATTTTAAATATAGGCAAGGTAAAACTGTATGACTTAGCATACTTTAAAATAACAACTCTGCTCTGGCTAGGTAGTTCAATTGGTTAGAGTGTCATCTCAAAATGCCAAGGTTGTAGGTTCCATCCCTGGTCAGGACACATACAAGTATCAACCAATGAGTGCATAAATAAGTGGAACAACAAATTGATGTTTCTCTCTAAAATCAATTTAAAAAACAACAACTACAACTCTGAATATCTGTTAATAGCTAAATAAATTAAAGTGTATGGCTGTACCATAAATTACTTTACAATCCTCCTTGTAGAACAGTTTCAATCTTCCCTATTATAAAAAATGCCATAATATCTTATGTAAAATCTCTTCTGTAATTAGGATTGTTTCCTTAAAAGCTATTGCGAGGCAAAAGAATATAAACATTTGACTCTATTATTGAGTTATGAATTATTTAAAACTCCTCTTTTTTAATGCTTTTTTGTGACCTTTCCTGATACATGAAAATTCTAGATATCTGCATTTATACTTTTCTTGAGGATATTGTTTTTACCCTAATAAGGAAAAAAATAAACACCCTAAAAGAGACGTTTACAAAAAAAAGACAAGCCATAATATACAAATCATCAAGATAATAGACACTAAAAAATAAAATGTTCAATTACAAGAAATAATATAAATGCATATTAAAAATGAGACATATCATTCTACTCTTGTTGGAGCCAGGGCAGCTCTTCTTGTGCAGAAGACAGCTAGGATGGGCACCAATATAGGTGAATTTATAAGTGGGAGAGCAAGAAGTTCAGGGAATGTACACTGAGACCTTTAATTTTCTCCATGAGTAGAAGGCAACAGAATTTACTGGGGTGAGTAGGGCAGAGGGTTGTATGGCTCAGTAGAGAAAGCATATCTCTTCACTTTTCTAGGAAGACTAAGGATGTAAAGAAATGTGCTACCCTCCCAGAACAGGGCTCCAGAGGCACAGTAAGAGGACATAGCAGAGTGGGAATTACTGCAGAAAGCAGAGACCATAGGAGGGGTCCCACTCAGTGCTGAGCCAGAATATAACAGGTCTGGAAAGCTTTCCATCAGCAGTCTTCCAGCCTGTTTAAAGTTCTAAACAAAACTTTGGTGAGGCCCTAGCCGGTTTGGCTCAGGATGGAGTGTCAGCCTGCGGACAAAAGGGTTCCGGGTTCGATACCGGTCAAGGGCACATGCCTGGGTTGCGGGCTCAGTCCAACGTGTAGGAGGCAGCCAATCAATGATTCCCTCTCATCATTGATGTTTCCATCTCTCTCTTCCTCTCCGAAATAAATAAAAGTATATTAAAAAAAAAACTTTGGTGAAAGGTATGTTCTCCCTGGCACTGTGTCAGCAGCATTTGAAATAACTAAGCCTCCCTGAAGTGTGAAGGGATCCAGATTACCTTGCAAGGGAGAACACAATTGTCCAAGAGTTTGCATGGGGCCCAGATGGTGTGGCTCAGGGGTTGAGCGTTGACCTATGAACGAGCAGGTCACAGTTCAATTCCCGGTTAGGGCACATGCCTAGGCTGTGGGCTCAATCCCCGGTGGGGGGCATGCAGGAGGCAGCCGAT